GGGGTCTGTAGATATTTTCCCAGCCCTATTTTTGACTCAGTGCAGTATACAGGTCCTCCATGGAAAGCAGGTTGGTAGCCATTGTTTTTTCTGCAGTCCTAGTTACCCTCCAAAGTCCGTGTCTCTCCTGTCGGGTTGCAGAGCCAAGCGAGATAGTTATAGAGGTGCAGGTGAAAGACTCCATCATTCCTCTGTAGAACCGGATCAGCAGCTCCTTTTGGGCAGTTTGAGCTTCCTGGGTTGGGTGATTTCTCAATTTGCTTCTTCTCCAGGGAACGCCGGTATTTCCTTCTCTGACATCCTCGCTTTATGACGAAACCCAGTGGGAGACTCCCTACAGGTTTAACCCCAACCATTTCCTGGATGCTGAAGGGAACTTTGTGAAGAAAGAAGCCTTCTTGCCTTTCTCAATAGGTGGGTGAAGAAGACCCTCTGAGCGAGGAGGGTCCGAGGGTCTAGAAGAGAGAGGGGATTGGCTGGGAGGTCAGTCTACAGCAGGGCTGTCCAACCTCGGTCCCTTTAAGACTTGTGGATTTCAGCTCCCAGATTTCCCCAGCCCGAATTCTGAGAGTTGAAGTCCACAAATCTTAAAGTTGTGAAGGTTAAGACAGTCCGATCTACAGCTTGTCCTTTTGTGGAGCAACCAAGAGAAGGTGGATGAGATGAAACCTATCTCTAGAAGATGAAGCGGCCCACAAGGATCAGGCGAGATAGATTGAAGGCCACACATTGTTGGAGTTCCAGGATGCTGGGCAGCATCATGGATGTCTAACTGCTCCACCAGGATCTGGAACCAAAGTGGTTGTCCAAAACTTTACCCTTCCTTTACCCTTTGATCTCCTGGTATGTTTTACTAGTCGGGGAGAATGAATAAGAAGATGGAGACTTTTTCCTGTTTTCTGGGAACCTCAAGAGCCCTCTAGGCTATGAGGGAGTCTCACCTTGGACCTCTGTTTCTCCAGAACTTTGGGACAACCCTCAGGTGAGTCAGGGCCTTAGGGCTTCAGGTGCAGGAACACCATCTCTATGCGCTCCAGGACGTTTTAAGGAGAATTGCCAGTATTACAAACTTTTCTGTCTTTTGTTTACAAAGATTCTCAGTCCTTCGGGTCATTGGTTGTCCCAAAGGTGCCTTTTCAAGGGGCAACTGGACTTCCTTGTTTTTCTTTGAAGATGTTTCACTCCTCATCCAAGGAGCTTCTTCAATTCTGGCTAGATGGTGGGGAAGGGAAGGAGTTATAGACAGCTGGTCATTTGCATCCTTTTGGAGGGCCGTTGAGGCCACTTGGAGGTTGGTTCTTCTCCCCTTTTTAAAGATGACCGTGGGGTGCTTGTTGCAGGTCGCAGGAACTGCCTTGGAGAAAACCTGGCCAGGATGGAGCTCTTCATCTTTGTGGTTGGATTGTTGCAAAGATTCGTATTTCAAGCCCCACCTGGAATGAAGGAAGAAGACCTGGAACTTACGACAGAACCTGCCTTCACTCGGAGGCCACATTCCTACTCCACCTGTGCTGTGCCCACCAACTAGGACCCTGGAGAGGTGTGGACTTCAACTCCCAGAATTCTCTGGCCGCTCTCCTGTCGCTTGGCTTAATCCAGTATTCTACTCTTTACAACTGCATAAGTAATCTTGCACCAGCGTTTCTTAAGCTTGGCTACTTTAAGAGGGGCAGACTTCAACTCCCAGAATGCTCCAGCCAGCATTGCAAGTTGGGATATGTTAAAAAACACGGCTGGCTGGGGCATTCTGGGAGTTGAAGTCCAGACCTTTTAAAGTGGCCAAGGTTAAGAAACACGGATCTAACACTCATTTAGAAGCTCTTATGTTAAAGCATCTTAAGGCCATTGACAAATATGGTTCCGTGACGCTTTGCAAAATATCTGGCACTATGCTTTATTTCCAAACTGAAATCCAATTTAGAGATTGCGCTAAATTAATGCTACTGCCATTAAAGTGGATTGCAAATGGGTGGAGCTGTTTGTGTCCAGTTGCTAGTAACACATCCATTTCTTGAAAAAAATGGAATGACAAATAGAAATTATTATTTACATATTTGGGGGGATTAAATCTGTGCCATGGGCGCTGGAAAGGGTGTTGGGTTTTACAAATAAAGACAGCCCATTAAAAACGCACAAAAATAGCGTGTATGATCAAAATAGTGGAAGACCCAAAATCTTGTATATGAAAACTGTTAACTAAACCGACATTTTAGTTGCTAAAATCCTACAGCTATGCTGGACTACAATTCCCATCATCTTTAGCAACCGACAATGGGAGATACAGCACAACATAAGATGAAACACTGGTACATCATGTTTCTTTCGTGGCTTCTGTTCTACTCCCTTTTCTGACCACTAAACACTGCTTTAAACTTTGGGCCTCTTTGGAAAACTTTTGATATGTTCTAATATTTTGCTCCCCCCCAATTGATGTGATGCTATCAGTTCCTCTCTTTCACCCTGCTGCCACCTAGTGGTGACAGGAGGGCTGTGACTGTCCCTTGCTCGGTTCTTAATTTCTGCTGCCCTCTTCTGGTCTATTCAGGGAACAGGAACTTGTGTTTTCACAAGCAGGTTGGAGTTTAGGAAAAGGCAAAAGGAGGTTGGATCGATTCTGCAGGATGCAGAATTTGTGTCTGAAATTACTTTGCTGCCTTGAAGATGGCTCAAAAGCAGCATCTCCACAGACAGCTCCTGGACCACAGATCGTGGGTTCTGGTGCTTGGACACGCAGTTTGAGTCACTGGGAGTCGCTTAAGACCCTCATTCCTGGTTCTGGGGTCCTGAGTTGAGAATCAAACCATGGTTGATGTTGAACTGGGTCAGCCTCCAATTCTAAACTGAACTTGTTGGGAGTGGGTGTAGGAGGAGCAGTATGGGGTCCTTGGTGCTCTCTGAGCTCAGTTGTTTTCTGACAACCTTTCGTGACCCAAACTAGGGGACATCAATGCTACTGTAGAAGGGAGTAGAGTTTGCGAGGAGGAGGAGGAAGAGAGAGGAAGAGGAGGAAGAAGCGGAGGACTGTGGGGTCTTTGGTGCTCTCTGAGTTTGGTTGTTTTCTTGCAGTTGTCTCATGACCCAACTAAGTAAAATCATCAATGCTAGAAGGGAGTGGGGTTTGCAGAGAGGAGGAGGAACAGAAGGAAGAACAGGAGGAGGAGGAGAGGGGGGGGGGGGGGGGGGGGGAGGAGGAGGAGACGACAATTTTGGAATGGCAGCATGATCTGAAAGCCATTTATGACTTCTCAAGAACCTTGGAAACCTCATCTCTGAGCTACAGGCACATCTACGATAGAAATGTTGGCCTGATTGTCAGTCTATGAAGTAGATTGAGGTGTCTATCCAAGGACAACTTCAAGAAGCAGGATAGGAAGATAGTTGATGCTTTTGAACCTGAGTGTTGGAGAAGATTCCTGAGAAGATGATGGATGCCCTAGAAAACAGACTGAAGGACCATTGGACAAATCAACCCCAGAGTTCACCCTTGAGGCCTAGGTGACCCTATGGTGGACCATTCTCCAAAGCCCTAGTTCTCTTGAGAAGTTCATAGGACTGCGGAAAGTGAAAGGAAAGAGAAGAAGGAGACAACCAGCAGAAAAATAGATGGGCTCAATTGCAGTAGCGATGGATGCCCCACGAGGAGACTTGAAGTACCTGGAGGAGCACAGAGACCCTTCAGAGAAGACCCATCTCTGTGGTCATGCAGAGTTGATACCCACTTGATGGCACAAAATCAACCCGGGCAATAAATATTAGAGAGGAGGGGGCTGATGTCCCTGGACAGACTCAGGGGGTCAGTATTGCCCCGTTCAGTGGAGCTCAGCATGAAGGTACCTTTCCCTTAGTAAGGTCGGCCTCCAAAGAAAACAGAAGTTGCCACACCTTTGGGGTGTGGGAAAGGCAAACGGGCTTGTCTCGGTGATAATCAGACCCTCGGCTTCCCGTCCAGCTTTGCAACCTCTTTGTAAACCTGTTGTCAGGAAGGGAGGGAGAGTCAAAGTTGGAAACGTAGGCAGGAGGGAAGTCCA